AAAGTGAAATTTTCTTTGTTGAGTTCATTGGTGCTACTTAATATGGGTTCTTCCTGACCTTGTTCTTATAGATATAAAGCCTGAGGATGCCTCTATCATTGATAAAAGAATCAGCTTCTTTGCTCGAGCCGTAAGGAAGATATTTAATTTTTTTTGGGTAACATGACTTTTGGGCCACCCTGTAGATCACTATCAACTTGTTGTCATTGATCGATCATGATGTTCTTCAGGGGGACTACTGCTCCGGCTTACTAAAATATTGTAAAAAATGCAGTATCTCGACAGAAATAAGCTATAAACTTGAGCTCATATAATCTCATCTCAAAAGTGATTTATCAATTGGAGGACTTCCTTGTGAGTTTTGTAAGACCTTAAGACTACAATATTTGTATGAAATTTTTCTATACGTTATATTGTTCAGTAGAACTCTTGTATTATCTATTTTTGTTCTAGGATCAATGGGCATATACAGCTGTTGGAATACCAGTAACTCGTATATATACAATAAATCCACGTGGTGAAGTTGTACGACAAAAATTATCTCAAGCATTATCGACTTCGTATGTTTTTTGATAGTTTTGTTTTTTTCGGTTGTTTCAAATATTTTCTTTTTTATTATTTAAAGATATAAAAATTTACATGAAATTGTTGATCTTTTATTTCCACCAATGGATTCATTTTCTGCAAGTGAAACATATTCAGTATATACATATTGGCGTGAAGAACCAGCAATGGATCCATATGAAGAGGAAATGCGTACACAATTAGAAGAAATAGCAAAACAACAAAAACCAACGAAATCAAATACGAAACATAAAGGATCAAGTGTAACAACACCAACAACAACAATTGTTAAACCTGCAGGTGAAAAATTATTAACAATAGCTCAAGCAACGGAAAATACTGTGAAACGAGCATAGATTAAAAGATAAATTTGTTATTTGTCTTGTCAACAAGAACCCTGTCAGATATAGAAAAAAAAAACAATAAATAAAACGATGTTGTGTGTCGTCATTCCTATATTTTATTTAAGCTTTTACTTTATGAAAAACTTGATCATATGTATTTTCGTTTTCTTTCATGTATATTAATGTGCTTGTGTTTATTTGATTGCATTTCTTTTTGTCGTGTTTTGCAAGAGGCTTAGAAAAAAAAAAGAAAAACAAAATCATTAATAAATCAAGAGAATAAAATATGACATAGTCTAAAAGAAAAATATATTTCATTTATAGATAAAATGATTTGGTTTTGTATGATTTATGTAACAAAACAAGAATAGATGTCGAACAAGAGACATGCGTAATTCTTCTTTTTTTTTTTCATTTTTTTGATCAAGCAACGACAACTTTTTTTAAATGTAATCTATTAAAAAGAGAATATGTTTGAGAGTATAAAAAGAAAATGAATGTAAGTAATGTGATTATTTTGAAGAAATGTGAACATTTTTATGATTTTATAGATTCTTTTTTTTGATGAATGTAATAAAGTTTTTTTTGATTGGTATAAAATGGGAAGGTAATTTTAAACTTCGCATAATGAGGATGTTAATTATCAATAGAAGGTTATCAACTGCTACCTTTTGAATACAATTAAACCTTGATAAGTTCAGAAAAAAAAATGATAAGAACTAACAGTAACGCAACCAGTGTATTGACAATGAGAGGGATTAACATGGCCGAGCTCTTTCTGATGGAGGAGCTTGCAGAGAAGTTGAGCTGGTGTGGCTTCGAACGACGAGGAGAGTCTCGAATATATGCTTCATGTAGACTCTAATGAACTATGAATACGTTGAAAAGAGTTAGTACTGTTAGCTTACTGCTGCCGAAATAGTGTATTTTTTCATAATTCATTAACCCCCATCGGAAACACTAGATAAACTCGTTTTTCAAATCTCTATCATGGTATTGAAAAAACACTGTGAATATGCAGCATTGTGGTAGCAACGAGCTAAAGGTAGAGACCTGCGGAGGACTCCGAAACCCGATTCCGACTCCGACTCCGACGGAGTCGGGTTTGCTGAAAAAAATTTTTCGGGTTCGGAGTCGGAGTCAGTTACAAGTTCGACTCCGATATTTTTTTTTCGA